TGGCTCCACCCACCCCTACCCCACCTGGGCAGTGCCTGCCCCTGCCCCCTACCTCACTGTGGGGGGTATCGATCTGCTCCCTCTACGCCCCTTCCCCCCACCCCCTTCCACAACACTCAACTTGCCAGCTGGAGGCAGCTGTATTGGAAATCAGATTGGTATCGGCCAATATGCCTCCTCAAATATCAGCTAGCGGTATCTGCCCCAAAAATCTCTATCGGTGCACCCCTAATTCTGATATTTTGTAGTCTGAGTTCTTTGCAACAGAAGAATTGCTCTATTACTTTTGTACTAAAAAAAGTGAGCGAAAGCCAAGAACTGGCATTTTGTGAGGGATGCCATGAGTCTAACAAGGTTGTGAATTGCTGACTTAACATATCATGCCAAACGGCATAACATTAGGATTTAGTACTAGTGGCAGCATCTGACCTTCAGATACAGGGGTGAAAACTTGTAGCATTGACAGGCATTTCCTTCAAGCATGAGGCTTTCCTCACATATGCATTTTTGATAGTTTCGAACTTTGGAATTACAATTTATACATAATGCAGATGTTGCTTGCTGGTTAAACTTTATTAAAACTATACCTACCAATTTATGAGAAAGTAAATAAGAGCCTATACTGAGATGGTGCATTCACTGATTCAGGAAGAAACAGTAGCACATTCAGAGCTTCCTTAAATTTGAGATGCACAAAAGGAGCACAATTTATATGAGATACGTAAAAAATAATGAATAATCTGGATGGTGCCCAGTTAAAAGACATGCATTCTGCTTTCCCAGTGTACCAGAACTTTATAGTGCCCCGCTTTTGACCTTTTTAGCATAACCCTTATTCAGAGCCTACTACTGTCAGGCTACAATAATTCAGTTTCAGTGAGAAAGAGGAGAAAAACTCTGAGCAAAAAAAAAAAAGACTGATATCACAGCAAAGGGTATATACAATTATTCAACCAGCATAGACATTATCTAACCACACAACGGAACACATAGGCTGAAGCGTTTACCTACCATGACACACACATGAAGCTATTTTTCTTAAAACTAGTCAGATTTTTTCATCCACAATGGTCTGGTTGACTTATAAAAGGAACATTAAATCACTAGAACATTGTACTGAGATGTCCCATCACAAAAATACAGAAGTGCAACAAGCATCCAAAAATCACTCAAACATTTACTTAACTGGGCAATAAAATATTTATATTGCAAACATATGTTAAACAATCCCTCTGTATTCAATTCAAACACTTTATTTTTTGCTGCCTCTCCCACGTCTGCTCTCTCTCTCATACTGTTTTATTTCCAAATATTAATGTGTGAATGGAATGTACCAACAAATTGTAACATGCACATATATTCAATGCATGAATATCTGAACACATTAGCAGATTAATCCAATCTTTTTGTACAGTACTATTTTTGTTGCGTTAGAGTAGAAAAGTTAACTTAGAATTTTTTTTAAATAAAAGTGCAAGGTATTTTTTCCCCAGCACAGGAAGTCTAAACATTACCATACCAAACCCAGATCATTGTGCGTTTTTTTCCATAATCTGCTTATGAGATCAGTTAGAATCCTCTTTCTGTGCCAAGATTTAATAGCTGAGTCAACAAGCCTCAGGTTCAGAATTTTCACATGCTGTTTGTGGCTATGTTACTCTATAAAATAAGACTAGGAAGGAAAACAGCAAGAACAACTCTAGCATTAGACATGGACACTCACAAGCGTTGCTAAAAGAAGTTTAAGCTCTTCAAAGCTGCCAAAATGGCAAACTCTTAACACAAGTATTTATAAGAAGTGTTTTGGTGCTGTCATTGACATTTGAAGACTCTAATTTATAAATCCATATGGACATTATAGAATGGTAACTGTTTAATCTATGAAAACCTTTTGAAACTATTTTAAAATTTAGCAAAATTTTTAAAATTTTGGTTCCTACGTGGCTTATAATTAAAAATCGGCAGTTTTAGGTGAAGATTCTCTCTCTCTCTCTGCTTTAAGCAATATTGTTTTCAAAGATTTTGCAAAAAGTAGTGCTATAACTTATAAAAATTAAGGAATTTGTAGTACCAAGAGAAATAAAGTTGTTTTCATTATAATTATTTTTCATAAAACTGATTGCTCATATAAAGAAAGGTAAATTATTCTTAACGATATACAGTTAAGCCTTTAGAGAACATAAAAGTTAGGAAGAAGAAAAGATTTGACATCTAATACCAGAGATTTTCTTAAAATAAAAATGAATTATTTAACACTGATAACAACTGTCTCTCTTCTTGTTCAAGTATGTGTGCAGCTATAATGTCAGGTTCTTCTATTTTCTTTTTACTCACATATCTGTAATTAAAACAGCCACAATGTTCATACCACCATCTCCTCCTTGAGATGTATACCCTCATAATAAGAAACAAGCATTAGAACTCTGATAGATTAAAAAAAATATATAACCACAGAATCAAATGTCATTAATGATATGACTTACTTATTTTTTAAATAAAAGTGTCTGTCACTACTAACTCTAATGCAGGGGTTTTCAACCTTTTTAAGGAGTGTACCCCTTCTGGGTACATTTCTGGTGGAGTAGGGGAAAGGGGGTTGTGGTGGCTGGACACAGAGCAGGAGGGACTTGCTTGCACGTGGTGTTCAGGGTGGTAGATGGCAGCAGCAGCCACCACATGCAAGTTCCCTCCTCCCCCCCACACACCCATCCCTGCTCCTGGGAGGCAGTGGCGCAGCATGGTAGGTGGTGGTGCTCTGTCCCCATCTGCCTACGCATACCCCCTAGCCCCTTTCCAACTACCCCCGGGGGTATGTGTACCCCTAGCTGACAACCCCTGCTCTAATGGATACAACAAATACACAAGCGAGCACCAGCTATGAATACAACATATAATTTCACTCTTATTTACCTTGCTCTATTATATATCATCAGTTCATTGTCATCCAGTACTGTTGACTGCATATCCAACTCACGAAACATTTTCAGCATGTAGTCCGTAAATTTATGTCCTGAAGCTCTTTCCACAACAGCACTCAGGAGGGTAAAGCCATGTGTTGAATATAAGAACTGGCTACCTTGAGGAGATGAAAGGGGAGAGGGTGTACAGGGTTCTTTTGCAAAAAGCTTGGATTCAGGTTTAATGTTTCCTTTAGTAATCTTTTTCCCAAGAAGACATAAGCTCATTGACATAAGCTCTTCCACAGAAACTTTTGTGCAACTATCAGAAATGCCACGCAACACACAACTTACTGTGTTTTAGATTATCATAATATTGGTTTCTACATCCTGGAGTAGGAAACATGCACATAATTTAAAGAACTCCCTTGCATCCAAACACTACATGCAAATTTAACATCAACTTCTCATGCAATTAAGCAGACCTCTCTTCATTTATGACCATAATAGTTCAAATACAGGAAAACAGAAAAAAGAAGTGGATTTCCCCCTTTACCCAAGGAAAACATGGGTTTCTCGTTTTAATGGAGAAACCTGTGGATTTTGCAATTTTGCAAAGAGCAATCTGCAGGCTGGCAGCATTCCAGCCTGCAAGGGGCTGTCAGGGAGCAGGAGGAGGGTGATCAGGCAGGGGACACCACCTGCATGTACAGGCACATTTCTCCAGGCTACCTGGCAGCTCAGCTCCCACAGGCAAGAGGAGGCAGGGGGCAGAACTGAGGCTCCCATAAGAAGGAAAGGAGGAAGAGAGGGAGGCAGAGCTGGGGCGGCTGCCCAGCCAGGCAGTGCATGGGGCTCGCAATGCGTGGCTGCAGGATCCCAGCAGGGAAGGAGATGGGGCTGTGGGTGGTTTGTCTGGGGACCATAGGGGTGAAGCCAACTCCCCACTGCTTTGTGTACTCCCGGGAGGAGCAGGGGAAACCCCAGATGTGTGTGTGGGGCAGGGGCTCCTCAACCTGCTTCCCTCCCCTTGTGTATATCCAAAGTTATTCAAGTTTTAAAGTTGCACATGATAGAAGCAAACTGTAAAGGGCAATCAAAATCATAATTCATTAAGTCTTAAACACAATACAGCTCAAATTTCTAGACTTCCACATAACAGCCATCTTTCATGATGCATTGTTCAATCCAAATTTCCAACTTGTAGAAAACAGTTTCCAGTTGCTGCTGAATGATTTCATGAATTGCATTTGTGATCCTAACCCTATGCATGGCTTACACTATGCTAAAAAACTGAAAGTGTAATTAATTCAACTGCTGTTTACAATTTGATTCTATCAAACGTGTATCCAAAATTATTAAAATTTAATTTCGCACAAGGACTTTTTAAACCTCCTGTCCTTATCACTATTTCTGAACCCCTGTACAACAGCTTTTGAGATCATGTCAGCAACACCACGTAAAATTCCGTATGACACACCAGGGATGTATAAAATGGCATTATGTGACAGAATCTAACATCCCATTCTCTACGGAACAGAATTTCATCTTTGCTTTTTTGAGTGCAGCTGCACACTGAGCAAAGTTACCTACAATGTGCTCAGGTGTACCTGCACTAGGCCTATCGGTAACCAAAGTTACCTACACACCCAATTACCTACAGTGATGCCCAGGCTACTTTACTGAATTGATGCATTTCATTTAAAACTACATAAGGTACACAAAGTGATATCTGGCACAAGTGGGAAATGGGGGGTGGCAGTAATGTAAAAATGCCGGTTACCTGAGGGCACAGGGTTTCCGGCTGGACATGAAACAGGGTGTGTGTGTGTGTGTGTGTGTGCGTGCGTGTGTGCGCGTGTGGCAGGGGTGGCGGCAATCATACACAGAGTGTGTGTGAGCGTGGGGGGAGGGATGGGGGGGGGCAGCCACACATGGAGCAACAGCAGCAGCACAGCATGGTGGGTGGCAGCAGCAGCCACCACGTGTGAGCTCTCTCCCTTTTGCCCCTCTGCATCTAGCCAGCAATTCTGGTTACTACAGTGTGCCAGTTATACTGTACTATGATTTTTCCCGCTTTTCCAATACACCTTACTTAACT